TATCACATATTCATCATCTACAATCATTCCCTTAGCATGCACATAAATCATGAATCTCTGAAATTTTTGTGAATCAGAGACCTGGAAGAGAAGATTGTAGTTGAGTCAACTTCTCCTTGAAGATTGTAGTTAAGTGAATCATAATCATTATAAGATCAAAAGGAAGAAAAAAATAAAGAGATTTTATCTCAAACAGTTACCTTATCACCATTGCCAGCCAGCTTTTCCTCAGGCATTTTTTCCCTGTTACCGAGACAATAGAAATTGAGGTAATCTTGAGGATGGGAGTCAGGAAGCTGCATGGATCTTAATTCATTTGCAACAACTTCATACATCATCTGCATTGTCTGATACTGAAAGAAACAAAAGTAGATATAAAAAAATAAAAATAAATAAATAAATAAAAGAGATTTCATAATCCTTTCTGAAATAATGAAACAATAGTTCCACCGCAACATAAAAACTATTAAATCTTAGCTCTGAACCAACTACCGATTAGCAATGGAGCAAGATGACATATCTTTCAAGATGAAACAAGAGGGTAACTGAAACAATGACAAACAATTATGTCTTGTTGACATCATTGTGTCATGTTTTTATTTCAAAGAAGAGATACCATTTGACACTTTTCGTTGATAAGAGTTCAGGAAAAGAGAATAACCTGCCAAAAGAGAATTTCCTGCATGGGATCAGATTTAGGATCACCTTCAGGCCACATTGGAATAATGACATACACTGCAAACCTCTCATTAGCTCTAATTTTACTAGCAATCTTCAGTGCCAACTCCATTGGGATTAGATTATCAGCACCTGTTCATATTACAGAAACATGAAAATTTCAGAACAAACAAATAATCCAATTACTATTACCTAAAAAATAATAATAATAATAATGGGTTTACTGTTATCCTTTTATCAGAGCTACACCTTTTAAGGGGAGGTTAACTCATTAAGGATCTATCAGGGCAATCTCTTTCTTGCCTTGTATACTAAATGAAGAAGGGGAAAGCACATTCCTGGTACAAGGCAAAGGGCAAACCCAACCATTTACAAGTGCGGATGCCACTGCATGGACTGCTAGCAAGGATGATGAAGGTCCTTTTTCTCTTACCCCGGTGGTTCTTCTTCTCTGGTTGTTGTTCTTTTTTTGTTTTTTTCTCTTGAATTTTTATAGTTAACTTATATTTGAACTCTTACCAAGATAATATAAAGACACCCAGCCACAGTTTAGTACCTTACATACTTCTTCCCATCATTCTTTTAAGCAAACCATTAAATCTAAGCTATGGTAAAAATACACAGCAGAAGAAAACATTACTCACCTGCATTTTTATGTGATGGCCATGCATATGATGATCCAAGAAAATACTGATTTTCAATATATATGTAATGTTGAGCAGATCTGATTGCCTGGATATATGCTGTTTGAATGCTTTTATCAATTACCACACTCTTCGCACAGATAAGATTCTGCAAAGAAGAGTTCATTTAAGAATTAAGAACTGCAAAATAACTAACGTATCAGGTTTTCCATCTTAAATCACATTAAGTGCCTCTTTGGTTAGAGCACCACTTTACCAAGAAAGTTTTTATTGGAAAAGTAGTTAGAAAAGTACTATATGGACAGTAACAAAGTACCGTTAATGAAAATTGTTAAGTTTTGTAATCAAGTTTTGTTAGAATTTTATTGGGTTATTAATTTTGTTGTGTTTGATAGGGAATTGATATAGGGAAAGTTAGTAGTGAAAATTGTTAAGTAGGCCCAATATAAGGATGGTTATAGGAAAACTCTTTGCTTGAAAAATAGATGGGAAGAAAACTTTATGGGTTGGGAATTGTGTCAAGAAAAATAAAGGTTAAAAATATCAGTTTTACTCTCATTTTTTTGTAATATTAATGTGTAAAAATATGTAAATAATTTTATAAGGGGGAAAGTTTAGAAAACCTTGGGGTGGAAAGTTTCCCCCAACCAAACACCCCCTAAGGGAAATGGCTTCTTATGATACCTGGGCACAAGCTTCATCAACGTCTATTGGAAATCCTCTCACTGATCCTGAGTCAATGGACCGGAAAATCTATGAAAGAAAAAGGGAAATGAACCAACAGTTACAAATTGTTTTCAAAATGAAAATGAACAAAACCAAACATATACAAAACTTGCATCATACAACCTGAACATGCCAGTTTTCATGATTATCTTCAGCAGAAACCCTTACGCTGGATTCATCTTTTGGAACTTTTGTGGTCCCATCACCCGAAAAATCTTTTGTGGTCCCATCACCCGAAAAATCTAGGGAAGGACTTAGTATCCAGGAGATCCGTTCTATCCTAATCAAAGCATCATCATGCCAATGGGATTTTCCTTTAAAAAGTAAACTAAACTCATTCCATTTGGTTGCTTTCCTCCAACGCTGCTCAAAGTTTATAAGAACATCATAAGCAGCTGGTCCATCAATCCTGCAGTGCAAATCATGCCATGGTTGTCTTGGAGCCTTGATTCCAGTCTGATAGGGAGGAAAGCAAACAAATGCCAAGATTAAAACTACAACTAGCATGCAACAAGATATAGAAAATTGTATCATAAAGAGGTTACAGCTTGTTTAATGTAGCAAACATTACCCCCATGAGAATGCAATCTTTATCATCTTCAAATTACAACTCCATCAAGAAATCTTAATAGCAGTTTGGTCAATTACACCACACGCAACGGTTCTAAGACTATACTTTCTTATGTGCTTATGAACTACATCCCATATTTTTTTAATACTGAAAGTGATGCAAGATCCAAGTAATTAAGATGAATATACATCATAGAAAATCTTAACAGAGGAAAGTAATATACTATATAAGAGAATGCACAAAGTAAATTCAAAGATAAATTGAAAATTTACTCACAGAAAACGTAGGATTATGAAAATCATCCTTAAAGACACCATCAAGATCACGAAATAATCGATGCTCTGGTGTATCATATCGACCATCACAGAGATCAATGCCACCCAAGAATGCAGTTATCTTTCGATTATTACCAGCTGCTTGTGTGTCAACGAGAACACATTTCTGATGATGTGTGAACATGGTTCCGACGATCTGAACAAAACCACCATGGAAGCATCACCTAAACATTACTTAGATTTTCTGAATATTTTTCAAAATCAGAGACAACTTATCAAAGCAAGCACAAAGATGGCTAGCCAAATTAAACCTAGCTATTTGATGTCATCTGCCACACGCATGTGAAATTCTTAAGTAATCCACTTTAGTTGCAACATTAAGAAATAAACAAGGCTAAATGCTCCAGCCAAAAACAAATTATATGCTTTCAAATGCTTGAATTGTTAACCTTTCAACAAAAATCAGCAACAGCACTCCTGTCACTCCTGTTATGCATTTTTCATGGATCTAGAAACTCAGCATAGACATAAACAGTGTTTTGAAAGGAGAGAGTTCTGAGTTCAAACATTCATGTGCAAGGAAAAAGTTAAAAATCCATCCACAATATCATTTTGCAGTACACTCGTTTAATATGAAAACAATAATTGAGTGGTTAGTCTATTCATTCAACCATTACTATGAACACAGAATCTAAACTAATGAATTGAACTCATGCCAAATTAGATCAGTATCAATGGAACGCAACAAAATAAGAATCAACTAAATAAAGCTCACCTTTTGTTTGAAATACCCAACCTTACTGCTTGCATAACGAGGAGCCAGGACGCAAGAGACAGATGAATGTTTGAAAAACTTCTTGGTTTCCTCATCATGTGTCTTCATCATTCCTGCCTGCATCCATTGACAACTACAAATTGTAATCTCACAATTTTAGGTTGCCTCATTCATTACTAAATGTATCTTTCTATTCTTCCACCAAAAAAATTTGTATCTTTCTGTTCATTACTGTTCATCTACCATTTTCTAACAAAAGAATAAAAGGGAAAAAAAGATTGCGCCTTTGGCATATAATTGTCTACTAAAAGAAACTGACAAATCATGCTAGGATTCTCACCGTTTTGATCCCCAATTTATCATGGGAGGTCTTATCATCCCAAATCAACAACAAAACTCGAACTCCTTCTTCTGATTTGTATTTGAGCAATTCACCAAGCGTAAACTTCCCAACTCGTGGCAATGGCGGGGTCCGTTCCCTTACAAGCTTAATCTTATTAAACACTGACCAACCTACAATGTATATCAAATGGTGAGCCTCTGATATTGCACAGCAAATATCTTCCCAACACTTGTGCTGCTTATAAACCCTTCCGTGATCCAATTTAATTTCAGGCAACATTTCATCCGGCACATGAGCATCCTGGTACAGCGTCACCTCACTCCCTTTCCTCAATGGGAAGTAGGTGTGCCTAACACCTGCCTGCTCCCGATCGCTGGCAATGCCTTGACTGTATAGCGGATTCTTATCACAGGGCGTGAATTGCATCTCAATCCGAAGAGCCGTGTCTGGCTTCGGCGGCTTCCCTTTGGGCCCAATCACCGAAAACCAGCCGCTGATTGGCTTCCCGGTAGCGATATCCTTAGCCGGGATCTTGACAGTCCCCATTAGCTCGGCCCCGAACAGATCATCATCCTTAACCCGGAACTCAAGGTCAACTACCTGATGCGCGAGGGGGATATTAAACGTCTCTTCCCAGACAGGGTTTTTGGAATTCTTGATAACACGTGTTCGAGCCACGGTAACCCTGGAATTCTTGATAACACGTGTTCCAGCCACGGTAGGTTGGGGAACCGAAACAGTAACGTAGGGATCGCTAGTGATTCTCTTCCCATGGTGTTTGATTTTCCGTTCACTCCCACGGCGAGATCCCGGTTCCGAGGGGGAGACGAAAGCTTTACAAGCGACGACACAGCGGTTGACTTGATCGAACACCAAATCCAAGTTGGGTAATGCTCTAGCTTCAAAGATTTTCAACTCTAGATCCCCGTGAAGGTAAATACACTTCGCCGAGTCCTCCTCCGCCATTTCGGTAGCAGCTCAGCTCACTGAAACGCCGGAAAACAAAAAACCCAAAAAGAGGAAAAACCGAGCAAGGAGGGAAAACCCGAAAATGGAAAGAAAGGAAGGAAATGAATAGTAGTGTATGAGCTGTGATGGGAGGTTATCTGAGAATGGTGATAAAGGGTACAGCAGCTTAACTTGTTGGACGTACTTTGCTCGTCGTGGCCGGCATGTCGTGGGGGGGTGTGGAATTAAGGGGTTTATTTACATTGGATTAATGGAAACCGTGGCAGGCGCTGCTGTTGGGAAATGTCAGGGAATCGGAGATTTTCCGATGATAATATCACAGACCGAGATGACGTGTTTCGGAGACGATAAGGATGGGAGTGGGTGGAGTGACTGTTACAGATGGAAAAAATGGTGAACTGAAAACGTCGTGGACTGACGTGATAACGTCCCACCCACAGTCCCCACCATTCCATGGTTCGT